TCACCTACCCCTACACTAGATCATTTTAAAGCTCTAAGCTTCAAGCCTAGGCATGAGACATGGATATCATACTCTGCAGTAAGCCAAGAGGCCAGGTTTGAAGGTTAGTGTCTAGATTTAATGTCAGGCGATTCAAACAGATCAGTCCAATTCTGTACTCCAGCACTTGACCACCAGAGAGCTGTCAAAACTGTAACAACCATTCACTTCCCCCATTCTAGTATAGACAATATCCCGACATTGATACCCAAGACAAACTCTTTGGAAAAGTAGTATCTAAATTGGCTCTAACGCACCATTTTAACACACATCTTCGTGACACCTATGACTAGTCTGCAGCAGAGAGTAAACATGCTTTCCTACTTCCTAGGATTCAGCCTTGGGGTTAGGGAAAATCCGACAAAGTCAAGTTCTGAATACAGGACCTCACTGTGCAGTACCTCATATCTGATGGCAAAGCCACCCTAGGAAGTCCCTGTCCTGCCACCGCCACAAGCTCTCTCTGCAGTTTACTACTTGCATCAGCCAATGCAAGTATGTGTCGAGCTGGATGCCTGAAGTGATCGAGGCTTTTAAAGAAGTCTTTAAAGGAACAGAAAGAACGGTATGGAAGCGAGAGCTTCTTAAGCTGGTTTTGATGCCAAGAAAAGCCACGTGGCTCATGTTCTTCTGCTCCAGCAGAAAGAAGAGCGAATACAAAAGTTAACCTAGCACAGGTTCACCTCAGCAGCCTGAGTGATCAACAGAAAGTACATGAGGACCGGCTGCAGCCTGCTGGAGCTGGGGAGCTACCCCACACAGCTCTCCAGGGAGGGTCGTGTCAGCTCATTTCACACAGCCTGCACTATGGAACCACTGTGGTGTGGCGGCTGCCATCTGCACTAGCATGAGAGATGTCTGCTTAGTCAATGGAAGGTGCAGGAGGTAAATTTTAGGAGTTGCCTTTGCACTTTTACAGAAGACAACCTTCAGTAAGAGATAATATAATCCAACAGGATACAATTGAGAATTAAAAATAACGTGAATAGTATTGAACTCAAGCATATAAATAATCTGAACTGGAGACGCTAGTTGCAGTTGTAAGCAATTAAAGCTATAGTGCACAATGACATTTTAGGATAAGCTCCAGTAGTTTGTTAATTTGAAGGTATCTTGTACTAAAAACTTGGGACGGGAGTGAAGAATAATAGGAGCTAAACTGTTGAACCTTCTAATAAATGGAGACCTTGAAAACAAAACACAGCACACTGCAGTAGACTTGGTCAAGTCACACCGCAAGCTGCTTTTTAAAGTTCTAGAAATCACCTCTGGAGTTTAAACATAAATCAATATACTTACCATTGGGGTACACACACAGGAGAGCTGGCATCGACTAGAATATGTCATCATCCTTTATAAATACTATTTCAAAATTTATAAACTTAGCAGCCTTCAAAAGTAATAAAGCAACAGATAAATTAGACCAATTGCATACATACATGAGCTGCTTGGCCGATAGTGAGCCCCCGGGTACCGCCTGCCCATAGTGCCAGTCAGCACATTACCGCACGCTGTCAGCTGCTTTCAAAGTACAGATCGAAACGCTTAACTGAGGGAGAAGAAAAAAAAAGTGAAGATTTAGTACAACAGCTGTATCTTTTTCATTAAAATGCTAATGACCCCTACAAATTTCAGGATAACTACATCTATAAGTTATTCATAGTCATGTTGTCAGAGAGATGAACTGTTGTGCTATACATGCAGCACAAATTTATTATTAGTGGTTGGCCTCCATTAATAAGATCACGTAAATTTTAAGGCACAAAGAAGTCTCAGTTCATACAGTAGCTTCTTTTGGCCCATGATACAGACAGAACAAACACTGCAAGAAAAAGTTTGCTTTTGCCTTTAAATACAGCTAGCCAGTAGGTCAGATTTAGCAACTATGTTGTCTTAGATTCTGTGAAGCAATCATTAAGCAACAAGTTTATGAACAGTTTGCTATAGAAGCAAAACTTATCCATGCTGCGTAACATTGATCACTTTGAATCTGTCCCTAAAAACCGAAGTGTCTTTACCGGAATGCAGGCTATTTACTAGTGTATCAGTTTTCTTGAAGTATCAAAACCCCAAGCAAACAAGAAATGCATGGTACATGGTACGGTCAGTTTGGAATAACAAATCACAAATCCAAAATCTTAACTGAAATGCTACTGAACCTGCCAAATAACCAAAGTAAAATATTTTAGTCCAAAACCAAGCCCCATTGTTTCTTTCTTCAGTGTAAGATTTTGTACTAAAATACAGCTTTCAGCTGATTTTCAGCTTTACCTTTTTCTTAGTCTATCTGAATAGCTTTCATGTTCCCAGATGTCTTCCAGTACACACTGCATGTCAACCATGCAATTTATAGAGATATATTTCCTTTGATTTCATTCTCTCCCTTGCTGGAAGGACCAAAAAAGCAACAAATTCTGGGGAGTGTTTTTCCTAATTCATTAAGGATTTTTACTGTCTCAGGCTGCAGCTACAAGCACAAGCTTGTTCTATCCAGGAAACAGAGAGAAATATCAGGACATAGATGAAACAGCACTGCACTGAAACTGGGAGATTGCCACAAATCTTCAGATACGTCAGTTCCCTGATTGAGCAGAACACCAGCTTACTCCTGAATTAGATAAGCCTTTTATACGTATTGGCATGCATGCAATTCTTTGGTGAGCTGGTCTGGGAGCCAGCACAGCCGAAAGCACCGCATAAAGATGTATTTTCAGCCGGATTAGGCTCCCGAAGTGGCTTATGGTGGTTGCACTAGTATTGGTAGCTAGCGAGGGCAAGTGGAAAGAACGGGACCGTGGCAGCCTGTGCTTAAAATGACTTAAAATGCAATCACATAACATTGCTACAGCCTCTGTGGATTACTTCTGAAATACAGACACCTACAAGGCTGCATGTCTGACAGTACAAAAAACAGGTAAAGACCGCCATTATTTCCCAAATCAGTGCTGACAAAGTGTGTCCTGTTCAACTCTCCTCAATAGAGAAAGTTCACTGAATCAATGAGACTGCACTCTCTTGCAACAAAAAAAAGGAGAATTCTGGCTGTTAAGATGAAAAGCGAATAGTAAACAGTAAAATTAACATTCAGTCAAAAACCCCTGCATTTTTTTTGCAGGGCAATATGGGACAACTCCTTGCCATGGGCCAAACAGACCTTTTCAAACGTCTGTGGTGGCCTACTAATTCAACACATTATAATGCTGAGCAAGGAAAAAACTTGCAGATGGCTGCTTCCCCTTTCCTGATCTATAGGAATAAAAAAAAATTATATACATATTTATTAGTAGAAAAAATTAAGTCTCCCCTCACCCCAAATTCATTAACATTTTTACTCCCCTCAAACACCTATGCACCAAATTCATAATTCATAGCAGAATACAACAGAACAGTCCTTAGCTGTGCAGTGATTTAAAAAAAAAAAAAAAAAAAATCTACTGAAGGGAAACAAAAATTGTAACCGGATGACAGTATTTACAACTCTTTTCCCTAGCTTGTGAAAGAATTTCATCAGTATGTATGGAGCTGCAAGATTACTCATTTTTCATAAATGCACTCTTGTCTTTCTAGAAGGCATACACTTTTCTGAAGTGATAACACTCACTAAATTATATCAAATGTCTACACTTGAGACACGCTATTCCTTCCCTACCTAGCAGCACAGCATTAGAGGGTGCCTTCTGCACCATGCCGTAATTAAAAAATAAAACAAAAAACCTAACAGATATAAATTAAAAATTCCAAACCCCACAATTATGCTCTCAAACAGCTGAATTAAACTGGAGTACAGTTTTCCTAAAGAAGTATGCCCACCGTGGGAATAAACCACTCTTTGGAGAGGCCAGGTGAGGACCCAAAGTTACAACAGTTTTAAATATCACATTTTAAAACCCCAGAACTCTCAGTGGAAAAGACAACATAAAGATATATTCCCATTATAGCAAAGGTTTCATCAGTTACTATATAAAACAGGAACTGCAAAGATTTACAACCTGGTTAAAGCCAACTATCAAAAGTCAATTTAGAAGCAAGTGCCACACAGTAAGTGAAGTTAAACGGCCCTGCAAAACAATAATGATACCCGACTGTACGCACCAGCAGGGACATACCCAGATCAAGACAGACGATGACGCTGCTTGGGTTTGGTTTTTTCCTTTTCTTTCTAGAACCATCTTTGAATTGTGACCAGAACAGTCAAAGCAACCTGCCTTTTAAACACATCTGCTCACCCAGGTGAATCTTGGAGGGACTCCTGAGCTTCCGCAAGCTCAGGGAACTGCCACAGAAATGTAAGTGACCGTGTTGGTATCCAAATGCCACAGCTAAAGCATCTGAAAACTAGCACTTATTCTCCATACACATCCATAAGACTAGTAAACAAAACGGAAGGAGGTCTCAAATATTCCTTTCAAACGATCCAAGCACAATGTATATATAGGTTTGGGTTTGGTTTTGTTTTTAAAGGTACACAACTTAGATATCCACAACGGCACATAAATCTGAATTAAACCTGAATGTACCTAATATGTCAGATCAGGTGGTCTTAGTATTAGTTTTTAACCTCCTCACTCACATTTGTTTTGTAACAAATGTGTTTTGCAACAGCTTTCTGAGGTTTTTGATTATTATTCTACTGCAAAATTGCTTTAAAAATATTTTATATTGATTTTTACATCTTTATAGTTAAATTAAAAGCTGTCCATAAATGCAACAAATGCACACATAGGCTTATGGTTTCTCTTCAAAAAATGTTTTGATTTGGCTCTGCCTGAAGACTTATTTTTTGTTGTTTCTTGATAATCTTCTGCAATTCATTTCAGGTGACCAGCCCCACGCTGCAAGCAATTACAGACAACCATGGAAACAAAACCTGAGCACTATCACTGCATACCTGCCACCCAGGGGAGCACCTGAAAGCACTACCCACTTCCCCTCATGCCAAGTCTTTTCTAGGAGCTGTGGTGACAGAGCTACCAGCTACTCATCATCACACATAATGAGGGCATAAATCATCTTGCAGAGAGGCCTGCCATGACTTTCAGCTGAGGCTGTCATCTTCCTAAGCCATTTTCTTTACAGAGCTTCTTTCGTTGCAGCTTTTTTACATTTCTTAGTTTTTATAACTGCTACTTAAGAGTTTCATTTTACTTGTATTAATCTTTTGACAGTAGTGAAAAAGAAGAAAAACTAAATTCTCATGCCTTTTTTTTTTTTTCAATGAGAAAGTCAAATCAAGAGTTATGTCCATACAGCAGGCACATAGGATCATGTTTGCTTGAACTAATTCCATTATCTTTTGTTTGAGGACAAACAATTCTTAGTCCAACCTCTGTATTTTTAATGGACATTAAACCTTTTTTGGGTTTCACCTAAATTTATTTGTTCATGCCTGCTGCTGCTTATGAGGGTATTAAATGGCCAGCTGGCTCTTTGACCTTCCCTGGTTCTCTGCGAGCAACATCTGCTATAAATACATATGCGTTCAAACACAATTATAAGTACATACAATAGATTGCCAGCCGACCTACCCTTACATACCCAAGAAAAAGGATATTAAAAAAAAAAAAAAAAAAAAAGATGACTGCAAATTACCTACAGAAGTCATCCAAGTGTGGCTGACTACATCATTCAACGCTCGCAAGGAACAGCTACACACAGCGGGGAAAGAAAAAAGGTTATTGCATTTAGTTTCTCAAGGGGCACCTACTCAAGAACTTACATTCCAGTACTCTCTCGGTGATATTCTGACAAACAATAAAATCCCACCTTTAAAGTCTTGCTTTGAATACCAGGAAATAGCCCTGTTAGGGAATGGGTAAGAGGAATGCCTTGCACGTTTTAAAAACACACAGGGGCTACAGGTCCTATGCAAAATAGGCCCACTACAGCAAAGGGTTCAGACACTGAAAGATGCTGATTTTAAAAACAAATAAACAAAAAAACCCAGCAAACACCCAAACCAGCCTGTAAGGGTGGTGAATGGCTCACTTTGAGGTAAGAAAGTGTATTTGTATATACACATAGATTTTGTACACGTATGTACATATTTGCACACACAATGCAAATATAATTCCCATAGTCAACTGCTTCTCACTTTGCTTGCATCCACAGCAGCCACTCAGAGCATCACCTGTAGAACAACATTAGCAAAACACATTTTAAACATGCAAGCAAAGTGCACAGCCAGGCCATCAGGAACTTGGACTGACAATTTCTGGAGGCACATACAGAGACAGCACATTAATTTTCTGTGCTGGGAACAGCTATCGGATGCAGATCTCTCATGCCAAACTGCATACTGGAGAAAGCATAATGTTGTCTACTAGCCAAATACCTTCTATCATTTGGAGTGTAATAACCTCAAAAAAGGTCAATGATTCATATCCATTATTCTTTATCTAATAACTACCACCTTTTTTAAAAAAACGTATTGACATTTCAGGGTGGGTTTTTTGTGTGGGTTTTTTTTTTTTTTTTTTTTTTTTTTTTAAAGTCTTCTGTTACCCAAGAGACCTATCCACCCTTCCAGTTTTGTCTGGGAGCGCTCACAT